GAGCCAGGAGGGGGAGGGTTGCTCAGTGCCCGGGGTGCAACAGGGTGCTGTCGGTCGCCAATATGGCGAGGCACCAGAGGGCGTGCCTGGTGTGGGACCCTGGGGGGGGCAAGTCCCTGACGGGGATCGACGGCCCGGAAATGGAATGGAAATGGTTGATGATTAAAATCAGTCTCACCATCAGTAAAAATCACCACCAGAATATCGACGATCGTCCACAGTTGTCGTTCACGTATTCTGACCAGAATTTCGGTCCTTCTGTTCTCGTAATTTTAAAAATAGATTCGAGTTCACAATTGTGCGTTTAAAGACTGCATTTTATAGAAAACAATCTATACCAAAGCCTGGTAAAATTATCGCGGCGTATGTTAAGTGGAAGGCACCTAAAAAGTACTTTAAAAAATTAAGGGCAGAAATCGTTGCACCCGTAGTTCTAGCGTGACGCTTCAACCCGTTGCGAATAGGGTTAAGATCTAAATTGTAATGTTCACGAAACACGAACGGTGCACGTAACTGCCCAAGCTGAACGTTTGACTGCAGGTGAAAAATCCTATTTGCTAATCCAATCGAAAACGGAAGGGTATAAAAATGTAACAAAAATTGTCGCCACTGCGCAATAAGCATGTGAAATCTTGATTTCAATTTCATAATTATAGGTTACGGAATACGGATTAAGGGAATAAAACGTAGATACGGGACTGAATTTGCCCGTTTGCACACGTTTTACCGTTTTATTTGCCAAGGAGATGAGGTAAAAAAGTAGAAAAATTCATCGCGACTGCGCAATAAGCATGTGAAACCATGTATTTAATTTCATAATTATTGATTACGGATTGAGGGAATAAAACTTAAGGGAGAGCAGATGTAGAGCAGGTTCAAGGCCGGGCTGGCCCACGCTGTAACCCACGCTTACGTTCACGCGCTTTTGTCCGACCGGTGTATGGTATTGCTGTTTAAATATCACGAATGAGGAATAAATGGAATAAAAACTCGCGAACGAAGGCAAAATAATGAAATTGTCACGAGCTTAACATCGCCGTTGGAAAATCAGAAAACTAAACTTTATCCTGAAATTCATGACTTGAGATGTATTAAGTTTGATCAATTTAACAAGGAGTGGCGTAAGCTGTGCTCCATGGTGTTTGAAACCCTCGTTTGAAATGTAGGAAAATCTTCATCTTTGATAGAAAAATGCTCGTGGTCAAAAGTCAACTTATAAATATTTGGTTGAAAAATTTGCTAGTTAAAATCCGCTAACCTGTAATTCGATTCAACCTTCCTCATTTCTTCTAATCTGAATTTGAAGATTAAGGCAAACTTCAGTATTTGCCAGTCTCCAGAAGTCGCTCAAGACAGTAACTCAGCTTCTACCATCAAAATGTCTGCACAGTGCACTTCTAGTCCCGGAAAACTTTCGAAAAAGCGATGGGTGTCTCATAGTTACCATCATAATGCAGCCATCTCGTCTCTATTAGCTGTTAGTTGCAGGCTTCTAGTAGATTCTCCCCTTTGCGAAGGCATTATGGAGACTCGTGCTGTACCATCAATCAAAATTTTGACTGCTACATCTAGCAAGTTTGGTTTCCTAGGCTCCGGCCATAGTTCACCGATAGGAGAAATTTTCTTTGCATTTGGAACCCCGTTCATTTTCATCGAGCGTTAGAAGCCTAACTGGAGTGATCCGACAAGATGCCGTTTCTTGAAATCGTAATCTATTTAGGGGTATCGTTCCGTTCCGTCCTCTTTCAAATCACTTACATTGTGTTATCGGGAGCGTAGTGATTCGTGTTTGCGCCAAATTGCGTGATTATGGAGCCTGACAGACGAGAGGAGTCTCCAACTTCAGTTCGCACCGTTCCTCGATGTGACATAGTCACACTGACTAACAAGCCAACGAGTAATGTCAGACTTTCAACGAGCGTCCGTTAGAGCCTGGGTTGATAAGGTGGCTGGTATCAAAGTCGCTGTACGCTTCCGGCTCGCTCTGTCGGGGGGTGCAGATTTTTTTCAGGCATCGGCAAACTATGCTAGGACATACTACAGCATATACGTACTATTCATCGTGCTTATACGTATTATTCATAGTGCCTACACTTATATGCCGCAGTCAAAAGCTTATTCTACTCAGTGACCACGATAGCCATGACTTAGTCGGAGAAGAAATTAATCGCAGGCGACGCTAGAGTTGGGGTAACTGTGATGTGGTGACCATCTTCTTTTTTTTACCGGTACTCTCTCCGATTTTAGAGGTCGTTAATCGTATTGGTTCTTGATTACTTCTCAGTTCTCACAGCTTGATTTGTTGTCTTTAGTCGATTTGGAGCGACTCGTGAATCACTTCGACGGCTCCTGTCACCTCGCTCCCTTTTAATATCAAGCAGGACTAATATTGAGCCACAAAGTGCTAAAAACGACGCTGCTATGAATCTAGCTATCGCAGCGATACGGTTGGCACCCGCTCCTGGTTCTTAAATTGGTCAAAATATAATTCACGGAGACTCGATCATTAATGAATCACCAGTGTTGGGTCAGCTAAAGAAAAACCACTCCTTCGTCCAAAGTGTGCGGATTTCCGTAACATCCCCAAACTGCAATTATTAAAACTCGGAAAGAATTACGGCAGGCATAGCTAGACAGCCTACTTGCGAAGTCATCATGCCCAGAGGAGATTCCCCATTACAAGTGTCATACACGTGGAAGCTTGGTTTAGATCCCCACGCCCCAGGACTTACGACCAGGGCGTCCTTACGCATGCTGAAGTTAGGGCACTCGGGCCAACTTACCCCCCCTCCTATAGGCTGCCTCACTGTAGGGACCGCTTGAGCGTGATCCCGCCACGGCTCGCGCGCTCACTTCAGCCTGGTCACCGATCCACACGCCATATCAGGTCAGGGCTAACAACAGGCAGAGAGACGCTTTGTTAAAATTGAAGTCATGTTCCCAGAGTCGATAACAGTTCTAAGTCAGCCGCTAGCCGTACAAAGTTCTAGTCCTGGCTCGCCCCCTACTCAAGGGTCAGAACAAGAGTATGCACCGAAATACGCCTTTCAAGATGGGCGATGGACGCCACCCAAAGAGGCTCTGGAATTGCACGCGCAGTGCAAAGTGAGAATGAAAACGCGCGAGCGTCAAGGAGTGGTGTGAATGCCGCAAAGCAACCTGTGCGACATCCTTATGCAGCACACGAGTTTACACACGCTGACACCGCTTGACTTGAAACAGTCACGTGGCATTGGTGCGGGCAACAAATTGTTGCCCGCCTCATGTTGTGCCTAAAAATACAACCGAGCAACCACAACTTGCGAACCTTGAGCTCCTCCACTTTGTTATGAAGCGTTTCCTTAGGGCCTCCCTCTGCCGAAGGTCGCGTCTGAGGGCGGCGACCGGTTAACGAGTTCATCAATCCAACTCAGATTGTCATCAATCCAACTATAGCGAAGGTTGAGTGGCTCCCACTTGTCATGAATCTCAGTCTGTATATTGTAACAGCTTCATCTTGGTACCCGTTTCTTATCTCAGTTCATCATTTTTGCATGGGCGGCCAAGTTCAACGTCAGCCTCGTCACATCCAGGGAAGATAGTGCTGGAGATACGCAACCAAGTGGCTCGTTAGAAAGTAGGCTTATTGCAATATTGCTCCGGTTACTCATGTCAGGCGGTTGAGGGCTAATTATAATAGTACGTTATGTCTTACAGGTACTTGGCTGTAAGATAAATCAAAACTAACAGACGAACTTGAAATACGAATACGAGTCATTAGACTTGATTTACACTGTTCTTGCTGCTGGTCTAACGGCATCCTGCCAGCCATCTTCTCTAAGGTTGACACACGTTCATGAAGAGACTATATTGTAATTGGTTCTATTTACTTACGCTACATTACCGTCTAACGGGCTGATAAAAATTTAGTTTAAAAGAAAAAACAAGCTTCGAAATAGTTTTATATGAAATTTCAAGATCATTTCGTGATTTGTAGAACCCACAAAGACTTTTTGTGGCCATGGTTGACCATCCTGCCAACTGCTGCGAACTCCAGGCTGCGCCTGGTCTCGTCTAGGGAGGACTGCCCTGTAGACACAGCAGATGAGAAGGGTGTGTGACCACTCTCCTAGCGAATCTACAGAAATAAATTTTGTAGTGAAGATCACTTGGCAGCATGCACAACAATATATTTCTAAGAGTAAACTCTTTCTTCTTAAAAAGATAGTTTACAACATTAGCACTAGCACTCTATGGCGAATCTCCTTTAAATATCTTTACAATGAATGGGCAAAAGACCTTAATGTTCATACTGGTAAAGTGGTATACATCATCTTTGTTTAGGGGCTTTTTATGGCGGCTTAATGCATAGTTTAAGTTCTCAACTTTCTTATGCATCAGCTTGCGGGCGTTCGATAGGTCCCTAGCTGAGCAAGGCGGCTCATCTTCATACGAGTATGACGACATTGATGGCGAATCAGGACCCCGGGCAGCTTCGGAACTGTTGTTGTCCTGCACTGCAGCAGCCATACGATCCTCGTCAACAGTAACGTCAATGGACGATGCCGAGTTCTCGGAAGGGTTATCAAAAGATATATCAAGTGAAGAGGATGATTCTTCTTGACGATTCTCCAGGACAGGTCCTGATGATGCAGCAACTGTCACTTCCATGACCGATGATAATGAGGACTCATCTGAATGATTAGCAACCGATATGTCGAGTGACGAGGGTGACGAGTCTCCTTGACGCTTGTCGATGCTTACTTCCACGGCAGATGAGTCACTGGCGACAGATGATTGAGGAACAAGGGAAATCAAGTCTTTTTGATGATGCCGATGAAACTGGTGAAGCTGCTGTCACATCTGGAATGCGGGCCCTTTTCATATGCGACTTGAGCAAGTGGCCTGCACCAGTTTTTCCGCTTCTGGTTGTAGTCGTCGGCCGAACTTTAAGTCCTGCACCATAATGTCATCTGGAACGTACTTCATAATGGCTTCTCCATCACCAGGAACTCCAGTAAGTTTTACCAGTCTTTTGAAAGGGAGTACTGACTTGACTGAGGTGGCAATGACCGCCGCACTTGAGTCATGTTTCCTCTTTATGTGAAGACCATGTTTCGCATTGGAACAGCCATCCAAGCAAAATGGGCACGGGACCACAAATCGCAACCATGGAAACTCCCTTTTGAAGGTATGCATATCTCCTTCCTCTTGGTATTTTGTAAGGCACTTCCTGCTCCTCGCCACATCGAGCTTCCTCTTCTTTTTCTTGAGGTGTGATAATGCTGCTGCTCGCCGCCGCCCCTGAGCTAGCCGTTTCCACGCCTCTAAGAAGTGAGAACTGCTCTGCAACTGCTTTAACCTTACTCATACCGTCTAAAAGTACCATGAGTACATTTATGGGCAGAGATAGGGTTAGCATGACAGCTGAGGAAATTGCCGGCAAGATGGCAGAGATGTTGATAAGTTCAGACGTAATTTCCTTCACTCTCCTGACGATTTGGCGCACATTTAGTGTGGGAGCTGTTTCTTTTATCTTGTGGATGTTGTCTACTCGTCGGTGCAGCCTATTCATGCCGACGGAGGCTTCTTCTGAGAAGCCATGGGCCTTCTCGTAGTGACGACGCATGTGCTTTGGAAGGGACATACTCTCACAGACGGGAATCATGCACGCCCAACTGCAGCCATCTTTCTTCTTGCCCCGTGTCCTTGAATAGGCTTTGACACCTCCACTGTGGGAAAAAAAGGAATAAACTTGATTAGACAGTGTGGAGTATGCTAAATAATAAAGAATGATTCATTTCATGTCTGAAAGCCAGTCAATGCAGAGAGAGCAGATACTTACATGGGGTTCGCGTCCTCGCTCATCTCTTCATCACCATCCTCCTTGCCAGGGAGGGATGAGTCTTGGGACGGGTCTTTGGACTGCTCTTGATCCGGCTCTTGTGAAGGCTCTTTGGACGAAGTTCCAGACTTCGTTCCCTTCTGCTTGCTGCAAGAAATGAAAAGAGAAACGTGTCATAAACTGTGACATGGAAAACACAGAAATGTCGAAGTAATAACAAAGATATCTATCACTCACCTAGCACGTGCGGTGAAGGCATCTATGATTATCTTCCGCGCTTGTGCTTTCACAACATAGAGTTCTATGTTGTAAAGAAGTCCAGAAAGGTCTGGTATAAGAGATATCATGTCTTCTTCAATGGTGTGTGAGAGGAAGGGTTTTTCGCCTCGGGGGGGGGGGGGCATCAAGTGCGCCGTACTTCTGCTCACGAGCACTTTTGTTTTTAAAGATGTCCACGTCTCCTATAACGATTCCCTTCTCTTCTTTGGTGATTTCAGGGTCTTTAAGGCGTTTTTCATTCATTTTCTCTTCTTGTGAGGCCGATCATTTGGAGTTGATTTATCATCTGATCTTTCTGATTAAGCGTTTGCGGCGGCTAGCCACAGCAGAAGCAGCTTGACTGAATGGCTTTCTTCTGCTATCAAACATTGGAAGTGTCACCGGAGCTATGTCTCCTCGTATGCGCTCTTTGATCTCCCTCCCTTCCTCCCTCATCTTCTTGTGACGTCGCTCCTTTCTAAGGGCCCGTTTACACTAGTGGCAACGACATGCGCTTGGAGTCGTTTGCTGCAGTGCCTCACAGCGCACAACCGTTCACACTACTTTTGTACTCGGTAGTTTGAGGCCGCGCGCTTTGAACACTAGTTGCCACCTAGACGTCAATGAGGATGGACGTAACCGAATTTGAGCTGTGGGTCGTTGTTCTCGGGTGTGCTGGGGTCCGTCATTCTTCGCACTATGCCAGTTGTAAACGAGAATTTAGCATAGGCATCATAATTAGAGAAATAGCACATTCAAAAAGATACAGTTAATAAAAAATATAGTCTATTCTTAAATAAAAAGTTCCAATATTCGTACCGATATTATATCATCCTTTGGAATCGCTAAACGGTAATGCATAAATTGTATGGAGTTGATAAAATCAAATAAACTAAACACGTCATGTAAAAATAACTTACATCATTTGTATTTCGATTTTTGTACTCCTTTGACCGAACACTCCATAGGCTTTCGTGTTCTATATAAAGATCAATTAGGCGCTCTACTAGAGAGTGACTCCGAACGAGAGTGGTGTAAAGGCCCGTTTACACTAGTGGCAACGACATGCGCTTTGAGTCGTTTGCAGCAGTGCCTCACCGCGCACAACCGTTTACACTACTTTTGTACTCGGTTGTTTGAGACCGCGCGCTTTGAACACTAGTTGCCACCTAGACGTCAATGAGGATGGATGTCACCGAATTTGAGCTGTGGGCCATTGTTCTCGGGTGTGTTGCGGTCCGTCATTCTGCGCACTATGCCATTTGTAAACGAGAACTCAGCATAGGCATCATAATTAGAGAAGTAGCACATTCGAAAACATACAGCTTATAAAAAATATAGTCTATTCCTAAATAAAAAGCTCCAATATTCGTACCGATATTACATCATCCTTTGAAATCGCTAAACGGTAATGCATAAATTGTCAGGAGTTGCTAAAATCACAGAAACTAAGCACGTCATGTAAAAATAACTTACATCATTTGTATTTCGATTTTTGTACTCCTTTGACCGAACACTTCATAGGCATTCGTGTTCTCTATAAAGATCAATTAGGCTCTACTAGAGAGTGACTCCAAACGAGAGTGGTGCTTAGTCGACATTTGGAGTGCCGGACCAGCGTACACAATCAACCTTACTAGACCACAGACATCTATCTACTAACTAAGAATTTAAAAGAAAAGAATAGTCCCAAAAATTCATATCTTTATAGAAAACGTTTCGGAGACCAGCTCCATAGTCAGTTCGTAGGATCTAGAATCATAAATTAATACATTGAAACCATAGAACGAATTGAATTTCTTTAATTGATTAATTTAGATTTTCAATTTGATTTAAATTTTTAATTCAATTTAAATTCTTAGTTAATTTGCGATTTAAGCATACGAGTGATATCAATTCTTTAATAGCTATCAACTAAGCGCCGCGCTTGTGTTGCATGAGGCATGGCCCCTGTCAATCGCTAGCTCATCAATCGGTCAAGAAGCGCATGCAGAGGCTGCAAAGCGCCTCTGCATGCGCTTTGAGGCACTTGACTCTCGTGTGTTGCCCCTAGTGTAAACGGGCCTTTAGACGGTTTCGCCTCTGTTTAGCAGTCTCGGGAGTTGTGGAAGTAGGATCATGAACATTTTTGCGTGGCCGCTGCTCAACTTCACAATCAGAGTCGCAAGAAGACGAAGATGGCGATCCATCAGGCACATATGCCTTGTTGCTCCCGAAGGAGTCGTCTCCTGATACGTCAGACCATTCATCTTCGTCATTTGCAGGCGGAAGAGCGGCTGCCATAGCTGTAGGAGCTGTAGGTAGAAAAGACAAAATTTTAGCATTATTATAATCAAAATACAGGCGGCAGCGCGGTTGCCGGTCAAACAGAGCAGAGCCGAACCGAACTGGTACTGTGAATCGAACCGAGCAACTGTGTACTGTGAGTCGAACCGGAGTGGGACTGAGATAGAACTGGTCAAACCGAGCAGAACAGAACCGGTACTGCGGATCGAACCAGGTAAACCAATCAGAACCTTACTGAGACAGGGATCAAACTGGGCAAACAACGTAGCCGAACCAAACTGATACTGGGACATAGCTGGACAATCAGAACCGAACCGAACGGGTACAGGTGGATCGTAATATTGGCAAACAGATCATAACCGAATTGAGACTGGGATTGAACCGAACAGAAATGGTACTGGACCGAGGGGGGGAGAGTTTAAGTCACGCATGATCTACTAGATCCCTAAATTCTTTGTCAAAATAATGGTCTAGTAGTTCATATATATACTTATGTTCCTTCGCAATCATCATCCTATGATAATGAAATTTTAATATGCTCTTCTACTCGTTAAAACAGTCAATTTGATAACAAAACAAGTGCACTGTGATAATTTAAACGATTTTTTTCAATTTTATATGGAAATGACCTGTATCTCTCAGAATGCATCCACTGGCTTCCTTTCGTCCAGCAGGCGAGTCCAATAGTTCAACGTAGATAATAAGTTAGTGGTGCAGGATCTACCGGCGATAAAAACCATGATGACAATCTGATATGAGATGGTGAGTAGTCAAGTGATCGATAATGCTATCCCTCACAACAGATTCCATTAGCTTACAAACAACACTTGTCAGACTGACAGGGCGATAGTTGCCGGGGCTGCTTTTGCCACCTTTTTTGAACAATGGTGTTACTTGAGCTTCTTTCCAGTCGGACGGCAAAGTTCCTTCGTTCAAGGTTTTTTGAAAGAATACTGTCAATGGGCCGGCCAGAACGGTTGCTAATTCTTTGAGCAATCTGGGATGGAAGCCGTCTGGTCCACATGACTTGTTGTGATTTAGAGCTACCAGGCGCTTGAGAACTCTTCTTCGTGTATTTCAAAGCATGTTAACTTCGAGCCGACTGGGTGCTCCTCAAAATCTGGAATACTGTTCAAGTCCTCATCTGTGAACACACTGCTGAAGAACTGATTAAGAACGTTAGCCTTGCCCTCATCAGAGGAGATCTTTCGTTGGTCTACTTTCAAATCAGATATACCGTCCTTTGACTTACACTTCGAACTAGCGTACAAAAAGAAGGCTTTCGGATTCTTTTTTGCATTTTTAGCAATGTTTTTTTCGAAGTTTTTCACTGCAATGCGACAAACTATTTAGCTTGATTTCGAGCTTTGGCATACAGGTTATAATCAGACTCGCTGCGAGTTCGTAAATAACGCTTGTAGGCTTCTTTCTTGGTCTTTAGCTGAGTCTTAACTGCACTGTTCATCCACTGGGACTTTTTGACTCCTCCAAGCGTAATCTTGGGTACACAGGCATCACCTGCAGACATAACCGTGTCTTTGTGAAACGACCATGAATCAGCCACGCTCATGTCCTTAATACAGTCCGAAATATTCGCCGCATTCACCGTTTCACGGAGTTTATCATAGTCGCCCTTCGCAAAGTTCAAACGTTCACGCTTCCGAAGCGTCTTTTTTTTTCTGCACAGCACTTAATATTGAAAAATAATGATTGGTGGTGGCTTTTGCCCAACGGAGCCTCGTGGCGAAGCTCATCTATCATTGATTCTTCACTAGTAAACACAAGATCTAGAATATTTGGGGTCTGTTCACCCCTAAAATGGATTGGTGATGTTCTGGATTAAAAATGAGCCTCGCACAGACTCCAAGAACAAGGATGCTGGGCGATTCTCATCTCTTGGAGAAGATTCATCTGTCCAATCTATTTCTGGATGGTTAAAGTCACCAACGATCAACGTATGCGACCTGCTGAATGACATGCTCGGTAAAAGGCTGTTTAGTACTTTATTGTTGTCACAGGAGCTGTTAGGTGATCTGTAAATGACCCCTATGAGGAGGCTATCTTTGCCTTTTAGAGTATGTTCGCACCACACTGATTCTCTAGCTGATTGATGCTCTGCAGATAACTTAACTTGTTGGGCCCCATAAGAGGTTCTAACCCACAGAGTTACACCTCTACTGCACTGCTCTTCATTTAAGTTATGAAAACAATCAAAACCTGGCAGCTGAAATTCAACAGGTACAATTTTCCCCCCGTGATTTTAGTGAGTGTTTCTGTAATACAAATAATGTCTATACACTCGTTTGCGATCACAGTTAACAGTTCACTTTTTTCGTTAAAAACGGAATCCGAGTTTGTGTAAAAACATTTTAAACTTTCACTTTGATCTATGCGGTTACTTCCCACATTATTTACAGGCCCTGATCTACGGACATCATTCCTACTAATTACTTGTCCTCCATCTCCTCTGACTATCCGTGAGCAGCCGGTGTTTTGGCAGCTTGGAAGTGATTGACCTTATTTTCCGTGCCTTTCCGCCTGATTCTCTCCTGCCACTTCTTGCGAAAAACCGCCCTTTCTAAGGGGGTGGAATCTTTCTTTAAAAAAACTGACTTGTAATCAGCGGATTCTCCTAGCTTTCTCGCTGTTTTCAGCACGTTCCAGACCTGAGCAGAATCCTTTACAGTCACCAGCAGAGGTCTGAAGGTGTTACCAACAGCATCCTTCGAGCGTAGCCTCTTGCAAGATATAACATCAATCGATGTGTTGAGTACCTTGCTGCAACAGTCTACAACAAAGGCCGTGTCATCCATCACTCGGTCCTTCGCATCAGATGCGTTACTTTCAGGAATCCCAAACCAGACCAGGTTGGCCTTCCTACGTTCTCTATC